AATGCCAAAAATACTTGAAAATCATTGTTTTCATCGGCAAAGGTTACTATCATTACTACTTTTATTGCTTTTTTCTGTTTTATTCAGTTCTATTCTGTTCGGTTCTTTTTTTTAGCCTCGTGATTGGAATGTACGTAGTAAATTAAGTTTCTTATTTGAATTTGGTGATATAATGAACGAAAAAAGGAAAACGGCTGAAAGAGGTTGGATGCACCTACATAGAGCCTAATAATTTGGTTACTATTTTGCAACAGTCAAAACTGTAAGGTGTAAGAAATATTTTTGAAGCTTAAAATTATCAGTTATTTTACTTTATTTTTTTGTCACTAACTTAACTTATTGATACATCAATAAATGAATAAAACAAATTGATGGGTGAATGATAAAGCTATGTTGACGGTGCCAGCAGCAGAAGCAGAAGTAATAGCATCATACAGAAACTGTAGTAAAATAGCGATAAAATGAGACCACACGTAGTTAGCAGAATTTCTCAATGCTTATCTTTTGCTTACATCAAAAGAATATATGATTAATAAAGAAGAAAAAGTTGAATAAACACAATTGAATGTATTTTAGAAAAAGTTTTACACAGGTGTATCTATGATTGGATACGCGATCGTCATTTTCATGTTTTCAGGTGTCAGTGCGACACTTGTAAAAGGTGTATGAGAGCAAGCTGTTAGACAGATATCAATTGTTGTTCTTTAGTAGTTTAGTTTATTCACTTTATTTATTTCTTTTTTTTGCTTCTATTTGTTGCTTTCACTATTTTATAGTCAAAGAAAAAATGCATATATGATTCAGTTAGTCTGAAGAGGAAAATCAAGTTGAAATTGCTGCCACTATAGTTTGTTGATTTGGCTGATTTATACGTATATATGTAATCTTTTTTGTTATTTTTTTTTGTAACAAGATTATGCATGGGTTTTTTGGTTACGTAGTAGAAATCAGTCATTTTTATATTTTTTAGCTTTAGTCCTAGGGGCGTTTTTGTTGCTTGTTTAGGATTCTTTTGGAAGCTTAAACGTTTAAAACATTGTATTTGTATAGATGCTTTATTTGTCAATTTGAACATTGTTGTTGTTGTTTATTGACTAAAATTTATCGGTAAAAATGAATTAATGCGCTTTTTCTAATCTGTCACCGTGGATGAAAGAAGGAGGAAAAAAGTGAGGTACCAAAATAGTAACTCGAGAAGGGTAAATCGAGTTTTTCTTGCTTTTTTAAGGTTAAAATTTTTGCAGTCAAAACGTATCTTTGCAAATTTTGAATAAAATGAGTGATGGATTGGTGCTAATCGTAGTGGTAATGATATATTTCAGATTTTTTTTCTTTCGTTTTGCTTTTGCTTTTCTGCAAGGATAATGGCAAATAATAATAGTGATTTTGTCTTTGATGTAGAAGAGAAAACGAGGTTGCCGAGAAGAAATGAATGTGTCGATTCAGCAAAAAAAA